CAGCAAAACTAACTACTTATCACAATACTGTAGGAATCGAAAGGGGCTGGAGATGGAGCACGACACAACAACGAAGATTCATCACGGATTTCGTGCACGGCACGGATTATCCCCAAAAGATTCGTGTTGAAGCCGGCTATGCTCTATCTTCCTCCCTCTTTCTCTGCCTCTTGCCTGAGCTGCCGAGCTTCCCCTCGCGCTTGGCCTTGAAGTACTCGGCCTTCAGGCTCTGCAGGAAGCGAATCCTGGCCTCCAGTAGTTCGCTACTCGCACCGAAAGAACAGCCAAACAACATTCGGTGTCCAGTGGAATCGATCCCAGTCAAGCGCGAACGGTGTGGATGAGTTTCGTCCAATCGATCCATTGGTATCGGGAAACGGAGTGAGGAGGGACGTTAACGTCGAAGGAGGCATGAAGGGTGGGGGTGCCGCAGATGACTTCACGCGGCGCGTTAGCGGGGTTGGTCTTCAGGATCGCAGGAATGCTTCGGAGATAAGACTGGTAGAGATACATAGCCTGGACTGGCGGGGAGCGACGCGTCGAGAATCGTCATGGCAGGTTCGCGGTAGCCAGAAGAAAAAAACTCCCCGCCTCTACACGACGACGATTTTGGCCATGAATCGCTGACAAGGACGAATGCCCCTGGGACAGCGTTCTCGTTAAGAGGTGCGTTGGTGCGGCCGCGCACTTTTCTTGACGGAAACTTGGGAAATTGAAACGGAAATTGTCACCGACAAGGTGAAGGAAAAATAAGCTGCATTGCATTGCATCTCAACGGAGCCGAGAAACATGATAAGGGTCATTTTTCCTTGCCGTCGGGCGTATTTCGAGTGGTAATTTGCTCTCGTTGCCCTCTTGACTGATTCACCTTGAGAACAAGCGAACCACGCATTTATATCACACATGAGACTTATTTTCTGCAATCAACGCCGAATAGAACCTTCCAAATGTATTAGCGTGGCGGTGCGCAGCAGCACCAAGGGCCTGCGGCCCTAAGGAGAACGCTGCCCCTAGTACCTCTTGGTGACAATAACAACAAAGACCATACGGCAAAACAACAACAGGAACAGCAGTAACAACAACAACGGCAACGAAGACAAACAAACACCCTTGTACCTCTTGTCCAAAACCAAGAACAATAACAACCAACGACGACGACGAATACCCGTGGCAGTACCACGCTGCCGAAGGGGACAGCCACAAGGCGACAGCAACAAGGACAACAACTGCCGCGCATACCTCTTGTCGATCCCCTGCTCGTTGGGGCCGTCCTTGTCGTGCCTCCCGTGGTCGTGGGTGTGGCTCAGGCTGACCCCCGCATTCTGGACGAACGTCGCGGCCCGCTGGAACATGCGCTTGCTCATGCTCCCCTTCCTGCCCTTCACGTCGTTCTGGTCGTGGTCCTCGCCCTGGAAGGAAGCCATGTTACTGGTGGGCGACCCCGGTGAGGCCCCGGCCCCCTCTACAAAAGTTGCCGGTGCGGCAAAGCAAGTAAAATGGAAGGCGTTTCATTGGCGCGAGTCAAGGGGAACAAAAGGAACGTTAGTGTTCAACAATAGTAGCCAGAGCAGCAGCGATTTCCGCAGGCGACAAAAGTCTCGTCAGCACTCGAAGATGTACAATTTGACTAGCAAGGGAAACCAAAACAAGAATGGGCCGTTCATGACACATCGAACGAAGTGGAAACCCCGAGAGGCTGGAAGGCCGCGAGGGACATGCCAAGACCTACCACTGCCAGGAACAAACAACGCGGCAGTCTACGCAGGATTTCCGAGAAAGAAAACACATCAGATAAGTGAATAATCGGCTAAGTTGGGGTTCGAAATTAAGGTTGGGGTTGGGGCCTGCGAAACCCCCTGCCTGGACTCTATTCGCAATAAGGTTCTTTGTATGCGGAGGCAGTCCAAGCAACGCGGTCGGAGAATACTTACACTAATGCTGGTGGGAACGAGACGCTTGTCGCGTTCTGTTTTATCAAGGGATGCAGACAAACACGAGGCAGGAAAACGGACCAAACACTGCATCCGTGCACACGAGAGTTCGATAAAACTACTCACTACCGTACCAAGAACCAGAATCATCAAAGGAGGCTTATGCGTACAAACTTTCTGGGTGGGTATAGGAAAAGGCACAGACTACAAAACGGGACGCTTTCATGCGACCAAGGCTGGTGTGGAGAGAGAAATGCGCAATAAATACAGGGGGAAGGCAAAAACTGGTCCTGTTGTTGTACGAGGGTCAAAAGCAATTCGTCAGTGCAGCACGAAGTGGGGTTGTTTCAGGGGCCGATCTCTACCAATGAACTGGTGTTCGGACACTCAGGCATGCCTCTGCCTTGTTGCCCGGGGTCGCTCTATCTCTTCTGAACTAGTGCGCGGCAACGCGGCTACGAAACACCCAATCCGTGTACACGTCGTCACGGAAACAGCCAATTGCGTCGCATAAGCGGGACCAAGCAAGCAAAAAAAATAACTGAAACGACCCCACTGCGTACCACGTCCGTACATGCGTATGTATGCAAGCACCCGTCTCTGTCAATAGTCACCGCCCACGGGGGCGTGTTCGTACAAGCGTGTGGGTGTGCTCGCGTTCATCGTGCATGACGGGACTACAATCCGCTTGGCAATGGTGAGCAGACATATCTCTGTTCGCGTACGCCAGTGCGCCTGGAACCGACGTAACGACCGGTCTAACGACCGCTCTCTCAAGAGGAGAACAACAACAAACGAGCAAAACACGCGAGTTGCGGTAAGCCACCCGGCATAACCACACGACTTACTGGGGGCATGACGCCGCCGCATAGTCAGCATAACGGCTTGAACTTCACATTAGACTGTTTTTCCCCGACTGGTTGAACATACCTGCTCGACGCCAGCGGGAACAAGAACCAAACAAGAACAAAACAAACGACAGCAAGAAACCACTTACAACAATGGAGTGATATTCGATCAGCGCTCCCTCCCGATTGATACACCCACGCAGCCTACAAGGTCTTGGGGTTCAGGCGCGCGGGTGAGACTAGAGCTACAGGGCGGCGCCACCCATTGACACGGCCGAATATCCTTACCGTTTTCCGTGGCGATAGTAGCAGCTGTTGTACACGTCGGTGCGTTGAGGGACGTGCCGGCCGCGTTTGGATTGTTGATCGAGCGGGAAGGCTCTGCTGCGGACAACGACGACAAAAAAAAAAAATGCGGGTCGGTATGATCTTGTTTTCTTGCACGCTTTGTACGTTGGTGGATGGGGATCATAGCATGCATGCTCGCCCGAGTGACTCGCGGAAACCGCTTCGAGGTTGCTGCTGTTGTTGTTCTCCTTCTAGTTGCCATGCTTGGTGGGATTTATTGTCCTCTTTCGATACAAAGAAACCGCGCGAAAACCTGAGCGGCCGCAAGACACCGGAAGGAAAAGAAGGCTTTCCTTCATAGGGGGTTCGCCAAAAATGCTTTACCGTTGATATGAAGGAATGCGGTTCAACTTCCCAGAAAAGCAAGGCATGGTTGGACCATGTGATCTGTGTCATGATCAATTGCCGCCAGCTTGTGTGGACAACGGAACGCTCCTTGGCGATGACTTTGCGCACAATTACTGCAGGAAGTGAAACAGACATGTTTTCCGCATGGACTAACGTGATTCGACATACAACCGGATAAAGCGGGGGCGGAAAGAATGATCAGTGTCCTTGTCTCGCTAGATGTCGAAGTTACGTCGAGGCTTGCTTCGTGCGGTCTCCCGAGATAGGAAATCCGGTTACTGCACTGGTCGGCATTGAGCACAAACAAAATATTCTGGTCGATTTTGGTCCTTTCATACTAGGCCGTGCGCAGCTATTAATGCCCACCGCCCTCTGTTCCGGGGTACTGAGGTGGCATATTACCCCTAACCTTCGTGTTTCTCCTCTCCGCGCCCCCCGGCAGGCTTGTGCGTCTTCTCCCTGGCATGGTCGTGTGTGCGGCTGAACTTGTCGATGGTTCCGGTAATGCCTCCGTCGAAACGGCTGTGCTTGAGGTGCCCGGCCCATGACTCCGCAGAATCATCCCCGGCGGCGGCGTGATTCTGAAATGTTCGGTAAGGAGCGAGCAGCAACGAGATTTGGAGACCAAACATTACTATTACACCATTACCATTACCAACTACGCTGGTCATCGCAGTCAAAAGCGAGCACCCTGAACCTGACGGCGAAAAAATCGCAGGGATTGCTTCCAAAGATGAGGGATGCATGTCCCCGACGGTGTGGTTCTGACAACAGCACTGCGGCAGCAATGAGGGTGGCGGAAAACGATATGCGATGTCACCCACATCGACAGCAACAACCCGCACAGCCTCTGCACACCGACCACTACAGCCATAGCCACAGCAACGCAAGCAGCAGAAGCACCAACAACAGCAGCAAAAACAGAAGCAGCACCAGCAACAACAACGAAAACCACCACCCCACCGCAACAACAACGAAAACCACCACCCCACCGCAACAACAACGAAAACCACCACCCCACCGCAACAACAACAAAAACCACCACCCCACCGCAACAACAACGAAACCAGGAGGATCAGCGACAATCGAACAAGGAGGCCACGTTTCTCACCGCAAGGAAGGACTCTAGGTCGCCCCACACGGCCTCCCCGCCGGCGTCAGCGAAGAGGAACTTCGCGTGGTACTCGTACCAGGGGGACCTCAGCCTTCAACACAAAGAGCAACGAAAGGGGGGGAAGGGGCACCGGTCGAGGGGGGATTCCAATTTACCAGGCACACTACTTGTAGACCGCGCGCATCGATTAAGTCTACGTCTGCCGCTGTGCTATCGCAACACGTGGCACACGGAAGCAGCCCACACTCGTACTGCATTTTCGATCTTCCTTTCTCGTGTTGGAGATAGACGAAATGAAAGCAGCCCGCATTGCATACCGTAGTTCACGTGCGATTCATATATTATTATTTCGTATGTAAACGATAAGTCATACGTAAAACAACTGCCATCTTTTAACACGTTTGCTGTTCGTTAAAATACCCACCGGTGTGGAATCCCGGAGTAGGAGAAACCTCCCTTCCTCTCCCGATACCACGCCTTGAGCACTTCGGAGAAGCTGCGGTGGTGGTCGCCCAGCTTGCGAGCACGGTCGTTCGTGTCTTGGATATCCTCCAGCTACACCAGGGTGTGATTGGGATATTTGTTTTTCAGCACAAGCGAGACACGAAGGGAGTGCGAGCCAAAGACGTGTCAGCGATTGTTTGGGCGGAGATTCGATTTTTCGGTAAGATACAGCAGCCGTTCGACTCAATAACAAGATAGCCACCCAACGGCGAAGATAAACACCAACGGCGACGAGAAACAGCAACAGCAACAGAAAATTAAGGTGACACAAAACAGCACTACCAACGACAACGACAACAACCAAAACAACAACAACTTTACATACCTCATCAGCTGAGAGTGTGATGTGCCCCATGGACAGCCTGGTAAAGTACGATTCCGCCGTGAACAGGGGGAGGTACCTGAAAAGAAAAAAAAAGCAACAAGGGGGTGCAGAACATTACCAGAGGCATGGCCGTAGTCTTCAAACTGGCAGAGCTTCGCATCACTCGTACTGCGAAGGCATGCTGCACCGCGGATTGAAGGCGATTCTGCGGAACTCCTGCTCTACCAGAGATGCGGAAATACCGGGGGACTCCGCTGGTACGGTAGAAAGTAGATGATAAGATGAGGCACAAAAGCAAGGCGGGCCAAGACGTCAAGCACCAATCGGTAGCAGTGAGGAGACAAAATGCTTCACGGGAGCTCGGGCCTCCATCCGTCGGCAGGTTAACGTAACTCTTGAGCGACTCTTCAGTCTTCAACCGCGACAAACACTTCAATGCAGATGCGACAAAAGCTCTAGGCGACAGGAGGCACTCGACGTTTGCTAAGGCCACGAAAGAGAAGCCACAGATAGAAAACCAAGCGCACCGAGAGAGATACATCGAGCGCCGCATACTAGTGCATCTTGCGAGACACTCTTTCCTTGTCCAAAGAAGACGCCTTCCCATTTTCGTTTTCCTGACCAACCCATCACGGACAACAAAAACAACGATACACACGGCCCATCACCACAAGCACCAAGGACGACAACGACCATGACGGCAACGACGTACCTCCAGACGAGGTTCCAGTCAGCGTCACAAAGGAAGGGGTCCTCCTTGAGAAGCTGTTCCTGCTTCTGCATCGACAACTCCAGCGCGAAGCAGGCCTGCCCGAAAACGCCCTGGGAGGCTTCCGACGCCCTGTGGGGCAGTCGGAACCCCGCAAGCAATATCCAACCATCCGGACGGGGGAGGCGGGCAAGGATCAGCTCTCTACACATATTTCGCCGTCGTTGTCTCAGACGTTGAGCTACATCGGTATCCCACAACATGAACCACACGATCTAGTTACCCCGCCCACTGGCTGTCCAGCTGTGTCTTACTCGACCCCGAGGTTCTGACTACCGGCAACAAACTGCTGGACATATTCTCGTCGAGAGGACCTTCTACAAGATCTTCTCGGAACTGCTGCCGTGGGAGCCTCTCGAATGCAGCAAGAATCCACTAGTATGCTGCAAACACGGAAGGAACGCCAATACCCGACCAGGATTATCGAGCCAAACACGGCCTGTTCTTCGGCCTCACACTCCGGGTACTGGAGGCTCGAGCTTACGCCTACTGTGCCGCAGGGCGGCGATAACGCGACTGAAACACCGTGTCATGTATAGCCGGGGCAATGCCTTTCGGTCTGCGGCACCCCAAACTGCGTCCTTGAGAACTCGGGGAGCTTGATCGCTCCAACTCAGCCTCCTCACACTTCAAGATTCAACTGCGGCGCCTGCGTAACGTCAGAAGGACCAGCTTCGGGGATAGTTCCATTCCCTCCCTCAAAAAGACAGTGCTCGTGCTTTGGACGAGATCGGGTGGCCCGCCCCGAAACGCGGATGGACGCGCGTTCATTGGCGTTTGGGGCGGAACACCCGATCATATCCCAATCGCGAGCGCTACCTTTTAAGGGAGGAAAATGAAATATCTCCAAAGATCGTCTTCCTGAGGGTCACGTTGCGCAGGCATGCAGCTTGAGTTTGCGCATGCTGAACTCGAATTAGCTCTGGAGCTTGATCGCTGCCTGGCAAAACTCCAGACACACGCTCGAAGTCAGCCTCCTCACACTTCAATATTCAACTGCGGCGCCTGCGTAACGTCAGAAGCACCAGCTTCGGAGATAGTTCCATTCCCTCCCTCAAAAAGCCAGAGCTCGTGCTTTGGACGAGATCGGGTGGTCCGCCTCAAAACGCGGATGGACGCGCGTTCATTGGCGTTTAGGGCGGGCCGTCGGATCACATCCCAAGCGCGAGCGCTACCTTTTAAGGGACGGCATCCTACTATCTCCAAAGATCGTGTTCCTGAGAGTCACGTTGCGCAGGCTTGGCAGCTTGAGTTTGGGAATGCTGACCNGCTGACCTCGAATTAGTTCTGGAGCTTGATCGCTGCCTGGCAAAACTCCAGACACACGCTCGAAGTCAGCCTCCTCACACTTCAAGATTCAACTGCGGCGCCCGCGTAACGTCAGAAGCACCAGCTTCGGAGATAGTTCCATTCCCTCCCTCAAAAAGCCAGAGCTCGTGCTTTGGACGAGATCGGGTGGTCCGCCTCAAAACGCGGATGGACGCGCGTTCATTGGCGTTTGGGGCGGGCCGTCGGAGCACATCCCAAGCGCGAGCGCTACCTTTTAAGGGAGGAAAATGAAATATCTCCAAAGATCGTCTTCCTGAGGGTGACGTTACGCAGGCTTGCAGCTTGAGTTTGCGCATGCTGACCTCGAATTAGTTCTGGAGCTTGATCGCTGCCTGGCAAAACTCCAGACACACGCTCGAAGTCAGCCTCCTCACACTTCAAGATTCAACTGCGGCGCCCGCGTAACGTCAGAAGCACCAGCTTCGGAGATAGTTCCATTCCCTCCCTCAAAAAGCCAGAGCTCGTGCTTTGGACGAGATCGGGTGGTCCGCCTCAAAACGCGGATGGACGCGCGTTCATTGGCGTTTGGGGCGGGCCGTCGGAGCACATCCCAAGCGCGAGCGCTACCTTTTAAGGGAGGAAAATGAAATATCTCCAAAGATCGTCTTCCTGAGGGTGACGTTACGCAGGCTTGCAGCTTGAGTTTGCGCATGCTGACCTCGAATTAGTTCTGGAGCTTGATCGCTGCCTGGCAAAACTCCAGACACACGCTCGAAGTCAGCCTCCTCACACTTCAAGATTCAACTGCGGCGCCCGCGTAACGTCAGAAGGACCAGCTTCGGAGATAGTTCCATTCCCTCCCTCAACAAGGAACAAGGTAGCGCTCGTGCTTTGGAAATGATCGGGTGGTCCGCCCCAAAACGCGGACGGACGCGCGTTCATTGGCGTTTGGGGCGGGCCGTCGGAGCACATCCCAAGCGCGAGCGCTACCTTTTAAGGGAGGAAAATGAAATATCTCCAAAGATCGTCTTCCTGAGGGTGACGTTACGCAGGCTTGCAGCTTGAGTTTGCGCATGCTGACCTCGAATTAGTTCTGGAGCTTGATCGCTGCCTGGCAAAACTCCAGACACACGCTCGAAGTCAGCCTCCTCACACTTCAAGATTCAACTGCGGCGCCTGCGTAACGTCAGAAGCACCAGCTTCGGAGATAGTTCCATTCCCTCCCTCAAAAAGCTAGAGCTCGTGCTTTGGACGAGATCGGGTGGTCCGCCTCAAAACGCGGATGGACGCGCGTTCATTGGCGTTTGGGGCGGGCCGTCGGATCACATCCCAAGCGCGAGCGCTACCTTTTAAGGGACGGAATCCTACCATCTCCAAAGATCGTCTTCTTGAGGTTGACGTTGCGCAGGCTTGCAGCTTGAGTTTGCGCAGGCTGAACTCGAATTAGTTCTGGAGCTTGATCGCTGCCTGGCAAAACTCCAGACACACGCTCGAAGTCAGCCTCCTCATACTTCAAGATTCAACTGCGGCGCCTGCGTAACGTCAGAAGGACCGGCTTCGGAGAAAGTTCCATTCCCTCCCTCAAAAAGACAGAGCTCGTGCTTTGGACAAGATCGGGTGGCCCGCCCCAAAACGCGGATGGACGCGCGTTCATTGGCGTTTGGGGCGGAACATCCGATCATATCCCAAGCGCGAGCGCTACCTTTTATGGGATAGAAAAGACGTATCACCGGGTATCGCCTTCCCGACGTTGACATGGCGCAGGCGACCGGCTTGAGTTTGCGCAGGCTATTGGTTCTGGAGCTTGACACTACCCAACAAAAGTCCAGCAACATGCTCGAAGTCAGCCTCACCAAACCTCAAGATTCAACTGCGGCACCCGCACAAAACATTAAAAGGACGAACTCCGGAGATAGTTCCGTTCGCTCCCTCAAAAAGGTAGCGCTCGTGCTTGGAAATGATCGGGTGGTCCGCCTCTAAAATGCGGATGGACGCGCGTTCATTGGCGCTTGGGGCGGGCCGTCGGATCACATCCCAAGCGCGAGCGCTACCTTTTAAGGGAGGGAAAATAAGTATCACCGGATATCGTCTTCCCGACGATTAAGTTGCGCAGGTGCGCGGTTTGAGCTTGCGCAGGCTGACGTCGAATCGGTTCTGGAGGTTCATCGCTACCTACCGCAAGAGGTGGAGATATGTCACCTCCCCTAAACCGACTGTCAAAGCTCCATTGCTCCACAAACGAGGGGGCACGGACAGAGTCAGACCTGTAGATGGAAAGCCCTCCACGGGCAGTTTCCAAATCCACCATTTTTGCGGTGTTGGCACAATGTTGGTTGTGGAGCGATTGAGCTCTGCAAATCGGCCTAGGGGGGGGTGCCATCTCTCCGCCTCTTACGGAAACAAAAGTCACGTCTAGGACATGCTCGAAGCCAGCCTCTCACAATTCAAGATTTAACTGCGGCGCCTGCGTGACGTCGGATGGACCAGCTTCGGAGATAGTTCCATTCCCTCCCTCAACAAGGTAGCGCTCGTGCTTTGGAAATGATCGGGTGCCCCGCCTCAAAACGCGGGTGGACGCGCGTTCATTGGCGTTTGGGGCGGAACATCGCATCATATCCCAAGCGCGAGCGCTACCTTTTAAGGGACGGAATCCTACTATCTCCAAAGATCGTCTTCCTGAGGGTGACGTTGCGCAGGCTTGCAGCTTGAGTTTACGCATGCTAACCTCGAATCTGTTCTGGAGCTTCACCCTACCGAACAACAGTCCAGACACACGCGCTAGAAGTCAGCCTCGTCGAACGTCAAAATTCAACCGCGGCGCCAGCGTAACGTCAGAAGGACCAGCTTCGGAGATGGTTCCATTCCCTCCCTCAACAAGGTAGCGCTCGTGCTTTGGAAATGATCGGGTGCCCAGCCCCAAAACGTGGATGGACGCGCGTTCATTGGCGTTTGAGGCGGAACAACGGATCATATCCCAAGCGCGAGCGCTACCTTTTAAGGGACGGAATCCTACTATCTCCAAAGATAGTCTTCTTGAGGTTGATGTTGCGCAGGCTTGCAGCTTGAATCGGTTCGGACGCGGCGTCATAGCAATCAATCTCTCTGCGAACCTCTTAAATTAGTTTGGGGTGCAGCATCGCAGACCGAAGGGCCTCACCCGGCTCTACACAACAACACGATTAATCAGCTACAGCGGCATTCTTCACCGTCCCGCGGTGCGATGTCGCAGAGATTTAACATTGAACTACATAGCTTGTGCCGCGTCAGAGAGACGGGCCTTCGCGAAGCCACCATAGCTACCGCCGCAAACAGTGGAATCAAGAATCTCCGTACGCAGTCCCACAAAAACAAACGTCCCCGACAAAATAAGCAAACGAGGCCGCCCCGCCCCGTAGTGCACCAAACAAAGAGAAGAGGTTGCGCCTATTCTTTACCTGTCGAGCTTGAGGAAGCGCACGAGGGGCCCCGTGGTGGTACCATTGACGAGGAGGGACAGCACCGCGATGCCGGCGGTGAGGAAGACAATCTTGTCCCTGTCCTCCTGGTCGATCTCGTGCACACCTTTCGAGCAACATGGCAGAGGCAACACACAGACGTGACATCATCGTAACTCAAACACAGCAGCATTGAGCGTAGAAGAACCCGTTCACAAAATCACCATGGTTCCTATTCTCGGTACGCAGTCCCCTGTGTGCAGGAATGTTGCGCCCGATTTTTGCCGCACCAACACCTTGGCTTCGTTCGGGAGGTGTGTCACGATAACAGCCATTGTAAGGAAAGAACAACAGCAACAGTAGCAGCACTAACAGCAACGAGAACAGCAGCAGCAGCAGTAGCAACGAGAACAGTAGCAACGAGAACAGTAGCAGCAGCAGCAGCAGCAGCAGCAGCAGCAGCAGCAGCAGCAGCAGCAGCAGCAGCAGCAGCAACCGCAGCAGCCAAACAGGCTCGGAAACCAAAAATACTGAAAGAGAGGAACCTCACCGTCCACGACAAGCGCCAGGATGAGCGCGACGGCCCCTCGAAGACCGGAGTGAGTTAGGACGATCATCTGCGGCACACTGATCTTGTACTCGCCCTGCGCGTTGGTTCACGTGGCGTTCCGAGCGCGGGGCGGGGCGAGGGGCGGACGCGCATGTCGGCATACGGCAGATTAGAAACCGTGGAGGGGATACCAAGGCGGAAGTAACCCTGGGTCATTTTCCCCAAATTGTTCTTGGGGAATCCACCAATGGTCACTTCATCCAGTTTTGCAACGCCCGAGACAGCGGGGAAGCTCTGTAATAGGGCCAATATTCACGACTCATCCAGCCGGGTCACGTATACGCGGCTGTGGGCAAGGAGCACAACAAATGCAAAGCGAGAGTAGAAAGAACCCGCGATAACAGCAACACTATGATGGACTATTCTTTGAACTCAAAACTGTTACGTAAGGGATGCACGAACGGACTGGGAACCTACCAAAAGACGAACGAAAACAGCGTACGTGAGTTGTTCCCACGAGAACGATAGACGAGGACATACCATTTTGCTGAGCAACTCCAGGGAGACAGAGGAGCGGAAAAAAGATCTCCTCTGCCTACAAGCGGGGATGTCTGTGTGGCACTCACGGATCGGAGCACCGGATAGGCGGCGAGGATGACGAGCCCACGTATGATGTAGAGAGCAATAAAGAGGGCGATGAGGTAGCCGAAGTCCGCGGCGTTGATGGCCCGGTCCTCATTGACGGCGACACCGATCACGATCAGCCCTGGAAAGTTTATTGGTTAGAGAGCATACAGTCCCGTGGATCGCGATGGTGTAAGAAACAGTACCCAATCCCGCAGAAGCAGCAGCAGCAATGCCCCACCTTCATCCACAAAACAACGACCATGGCGACGACTACGGCAGAAAACAACAATCGCGATCTGGACTGGAGACCAGACAGACGCACATTCACATATTTTAAGGGAGAGAATACTTCTCCCAATTGTGCAACGTGATGCACACTTTGAGCAGAAAAGCGTTCAAATTCCTACAGAAAAGAGACATCAACAAACACACCGACGGCAAGACAGAACCGAGCTCCATCAAAACTACGTCGAAAACATCAACGACGGTCGAAATACCTGACAAGAAGAAGATGGTTGTGTCCGCGAAGAACTGGAGCGTCTTCCAGAAGTCCATGAGCGACGGCAGCACCGGCGACGAGACTCGCGGCTTACCGTAGTACGACAGCACCACCCCGCAGGCCACGATGCCGAGAACGCCTGACACCTGGGGGATAGGAGGGGGTGAGGGCTCAAGTTAAGCTTGACGGCGTGACTCGCACTGACACCGCACTGATTGACTGGCATTGACCCGTCCCGGGATTTGTCTGACAGTAGACGCTTTGAGTTGAAGATAGATGGACACGGATACCTCGCAGGTTGACTGAATTCGGAGATTGCCGCACATGTGCATAGACGCGTTGAGTGAGGATAGATGCCTACTCAGAAACACGCACATACACAAATACAAAAGGTTTAGCACTTAGACCTGCCCCCCAAACCGAACATACCTTCACGCGCGTGGCTTCGCAGAGTGCAAAGGTGGAGAAGGCCAGGAGCACCGTCAGGGACACCTCCACCAGGGCGTCGTTAATGACATAGCCGAGGACGAACGCCCCCATGATGCCGATGACGGCGCCAATCGCGGGCCCCCCGAGGGCCAGGCGAGCCCCGAACTCGATCACCTCGTGCCAGTTGCGGCTGTGACCCTCCACGGCCTCTGTGGTAGTGTCGTAGCCGTCGTTTGTTGTGAATTCGTAATGCGTGGGGGGGGGGGGGG